CGCTTAAGCTCGGATGTAAATATTTCATGGATAACTGTCGATGTTTTAGGTGATACGATAAAGGATTGCCTTCCAGAGATATCCACAACAAAGTAGACATTCTCTCCAATACCCATAAAGTTGAATGCTCCATTACACAGTTATACGATAAATCTAATTCCGTTAAACACTCTAAATTTTGTAAACCTGTTGCACAGACAAATTTGCATTAAAGAAGCAAGTGCAAACGATTGTTTTTGTTTGTATGTAATTGCACTTATGTATTACCATTTAAATTTTCTATGTAATTGTTCTTCAGAACTAATACTTGTAAAGAATGCGATGCAGCCTTATTGAATGTAGGTACTGCCTCAAGCTTGTTATATCCGAGATTCACATATTTCAAGTTGGGTAAACAAGATAATTCGTCTACGGATGTTAATAAGTTGTGACTCAAATCAATTAATTGTAGCCAAGGTGCCAATTCCAAAGATTTATCCAATTTTTCAAGAGCATTGTGAGATAATGCTAAATGTTTCAATGAATCCCAAACAAATCCAATGCTGGCATCTTCACCGCAACTAGCTGCGTAAAAATGGTGTATTCTTTAACTATTTCGAATAGATTTTAAGTTGCATTCATAGCATGATTTGTTCATCTGTTTATAATTACCTAATAATTGACTGACAGTACAAATTCCTTTCCTACCAGCGCAGATAACGCTTTCAAGTTGACCTCTGACCCTTTGAAGCCCCTTTACAGAGTCTATATTAATTTTCTTCAATTCCAAATATTTCAAATGCCTAAACTTAGTAATATCAACAGGTATGTTGGGATTGTTCGCGCAATAAGTCACTTTCAATCCAACCGTTTTCTGTATAAAATCGTATACAAATTTCAAATCGCTAAATACATTGATGTTGGAGCTATTGCACACTTGGAAAGAAGATTCTAAGTCTTCGGATTTATCCACGATTAAAGAAAATGCTTCGTTTAAATTGTAGAGTAACATGGTCGACAGAGACAGTTTACTTGACGCGCTTAACACTTTATCTCCGTTTTGATGCAAGAGTTGTCCAAGCTTCACTATTTCTTCCATAGTATCTGTGTGTTGACAATCCATTTTTCTTTATTTTCTGTTACACGAAAAGTGAAAGATTTTGATAACGTTTAGGATTTTGTCCGATGCGATCTTATCACTAACCTGAAAGACAAACAAATAGTTATGATTTTATTATATAGTTTTCAAATGATACTATGACAAAATAATTGACAACCTTTCGAGCAAATTTAATGTTCAATTCCAATTACGAAAGACACGTCTAACTACAGATAGCGTCACGTGCCTAGCGAATGTTTCACCCCAATGACAATTTGACTATTTTATTAAAAACTTACTAGGTTATCGTACATCGTCTAGACCAGCCTCGTCGCTGCTAACGAGTTCATAATTATGTCATAAACGATGCTGGCTCCGTGCATGTTATCACGAAAGAACAACACATGAAATGCATATCACCAAAACAGTTAATTATCTTCGGAAAATGTCATCCATCATTATGCAATCCAGTAACCTTAATTTACGTTATTGTTTTAGGAACACTATACGTTGCGAGATTCCTGAAACACGTTCGAATCTCAAAACAAATTGATCGTCTCATTGAAACCTATCGACGATTAGGATCATAAAATTTCTATTAATGCGTAGTACAACACGATAAACACGTCAGAAACCAACTACGACACAGCATTACAAAAAGTATGAATAACTCGTGTTTCTAGCCTACTTCGAGTCGAATTTCGATAGACTACTCATTGCTTTCTTATCTTTGTATCAACAATAACGCGATAAACACAAAGTTGTACCTTGTGCCCTGATCCTCGATGAATAACAGCTCAAAAATCTCCGAATGGGTCAAACAATGGTATAAATGACATATTGTCTGTAATTTACGTTATCATCATCATCGCACCAAAGGAAGAATATTGTTACCTTTGTTGTTATATCGCAGACTACGCTAGATGGGGCAGCCACTGGTTTGTTACTAGTGGCGCCATCGGTGGGGAAATCCCCAGGTTTGTAATGACAATAGTTCCCACGGTTGCCGCTAGATGGCGCAACAGATAGATTTAATATATTTTTCATAAATAATTAATTAATACGATTCTTTGCTTAATAATGCTGCTATATATTAATTTAAGATGCAAATTTATTATTTCTATGGATAGTTATTTAATTCAGCAATAATTTAGGTTAGTGGCGCCATCAAGCGGAACAGCGTGAACTATTTTCGCTACAAACTTGTATGATTTGTCCAACATTTTCATGAAATATATCTCCGTTAGATGACCTTCCTTTTACATATTTTTAATTGCTATGAAACTATAAATATCAGTCATGTTTCGCTGCATAAATAATGATACATAAACAAATAGATTTTGTATAAATGATAGTACGATAATGAAACGTATATAACACTTCGAATTCCCTTGATGGACATTGCCGAATGCGTCCTCTGAATATACGATAAACGAAACAAGATAAAGAGCGACGTGTAAACTGTCGAATCATTTTCAGGGTGAGAAAACGTTTGGTATTTTTTTTATTCTTTTTGGGATCGCGAACCGTTCGACATTGCGAAAGAAGGACGACCGGTTTTAACGTCACAATACGTGGCGGACTGTTCACTTTCGGTTTCGCTGATGAAAAAGGGACTCTGTGGTGGGTGGGGAGAGATCGAGGGAGATCGAGGGAGATCTGTAACGAAAGAACGATAATTAAATGTCCCCCACGCGAAGGACCTTATTGTTTCGGTGACGTTAAACATCTGTTCACTTGTCCACTATCTTGCACGATTTATGTCACGATGACTATCAGTTGAAATAACGTTTCTATTTAAAAAAGATTATTTATTTATGATATTCTTTTATTCACTCTGTTTTTCGCTCTTTCGTTGCCATGTTTTATTAATCTTGGTTTTATTACTTTTGCAAACGTGTGAAATAGATTCTCGTGGCTACGCTAATATTGTATTGATTATATTATATATTTATTATAATTGTACGTATATTAATATCATAGCTTGTATACATATATGATATTAATATTAAAAATGTATTACATTTACATTACATATTATAATAATATTACAGATTGTATTATATTATATTAATATCATAGTTTACATATATTATATTAATGTCATAGTTTGTATACATGATATTCATGTCACAGGTTGTACATATATTATATTAATATCATAGCTTGTATATATAATATTAATATCACAGGTTGTACATATATTATATTAATATCACAGCGTGTATGTATAATATTTATATCACAGTTTGTAAATATAACATTTATATCAGAGCTTGTATATATGATATTAATATCACAGTTTGTATATATGATATTAATATCACAGTTTGTATATATGGTATTTATATCACAGCTTGTATATATAATATTTATATCACGGTTTGTACATATAATATTTATATCAGAGCTTGTATATATGATATTAATACCATAATTTGTATAGATGATATTAATATCATAGATTGAATATATAACATTAACATCACAAGTTATACATATATTATATTAATGTCACAGCTTGTATATATAATATTAATATCATAGATTGTATATATAATATTAACATCACAAGTTGTACATATATTATATTAATATCACAACTTGTGTATATTATATCAATATCATAGCTTGTATATATTATATTGTTATCATAGCTTGTATATATGATATTAATATCACAGGTTGTACATATGTTATATTAATATTACTGCTACTATATATAATATGTGTATCCCAGCTAAACAACACAGTTGTACGACAACATTAAAATACAAGCAACCGTTTCAAATTTTATACGAAGCTTTCTTAAACTTCACGTCCATGTGTATTAACTGAAGATATTTATTAGCAATATATTATGCTCATTTAATTGCCGACTACTACTGGGTCACCCTGTACGCCGTTGAAAGCGGTCAAGGATCGGCCAATACAGAGTATATATATATACACACATCTATATATATATATACATTGGACATGAGTTACTTCTCGTGATTATGATTTTCTTATTGCAAACAGCTGCAAATTGCTAAAAGGTATGAGTAATGTTCTCAATCGCCTTCGACGTTGTTGTTTCGGGGCGGTGCTCGAAACAGTAAAAATCTTGCCCAACGTCCGCCCGTAGCAAGGTCGGATCGATCCAGGGAACGACAATCGATTTTTCACCCGTTCCGTTCGATCGAGATGATTATCCTGCGCAACCTTGACGAATCGCCAGGCTAAAACGACGATTCAATTGTCCCATTACTTTTATCTCGCCCGCTCTCGACCGCAAAGACCAACGATCGATTTCGTATTTACCTTTCATAACTGCGTCGCGATACTCCGTACCCCGACGTTTCGAGAATTAATTTCCCTCGGTTAACGTTTCTTAAGCGGCGGGCGGGGAAGGGGGGGGGGGGAGAGAAAAAAAAGGAACGCGCGCGACTTGCGCAATCGCGTCAGAAAAAATTCGTACAAATTGTTATGAGTGCAAACACGTGTCTCGGTGGATCGGGGAATCGCACTTTAATGGACGGCGTGTGCGTTTAATGATATGTTCGCTGGCACGGATATGGTGGCCACGGTTGGATATATAACTGTCGACAGTTAAGACTTAATCATAAGTAAATGCAAGATTTTAGGTTCAAGATTTCTAATTCTGGATTTTAGATTCGAGACTTTCGTGGATGTTATACTGTGACATTAATATAATCTATGTACAACCTGTGATGTTAATATCATGTATAGAAACTATGATATTAATATAATATATGTACAAATTGTGATATTAACATCACATATACAAGCTGTGATATAAATATGATGTATACAAGCTGTGATTATACTAT